TCAGAGGCAATTATGACAAATTTTTTTACAGTGAGGAAGTCAATACAGGGCCAATTCAGACAATTTAAAGTACAACTACCAACAACCAGGAGTCTCAAACTTGACTATTCACTTTTCATCTCAAAAGCATCTCCAAAGACTTACAACACGAGTGCACTCACGAGAAGGGATACACCAGGACTAAGGCACTGAGAAGGGGGAAAGGGCCCAAGGAGCTTTTCGCCAACTGCAGGCTTTGCCACACTGAATGCTGTGGCCAGGCCTGAGGGGCCATGTGCTCTAAGGCCTCTCTACTAGTAGGGACTCACCTGCATTGATTTTTTTTTTTTTTTTTAAACTCTTTCTTAGCCGAAACCGGTTTGGCTCAGTGGATAGAGCGTCGGCCTGCGGACTGAAAGGTCCCAGGTTCGATTCCGGTCAAGGGCATGTGCCTGGGTTGCGGGCACATCCCCAGTAGGGAGTGTGCAGGAGGCAGCTGATCGATGTTTCTCTCTCATCAATGTTTCTAACTATCTCTCTCCCTTCCTCTCTGTAAAAAATCAATAAAATATATTTAAAAAAAAATAAAAACCCGTTCTTAAAAATATTGAGATGTAATTTACACAACATAAAAATCACCATTTTATAGTGCACGTTATTGTGCTTTTTAGTATATTTACCATGTTGTGCAACCTTCACCAATTCCAGAACATTTCCATCATCCCATAAATATCCCCTATATCTATTGCAATATGCACTGATTTTACCCAAAGTTTCTCTACACATATCTGTTGCCCAAGCAAGTATTTAAGATGTTTGGTTGAGTGAATCTATGGAGTATCTATAGTAAGAAAACAATAAAGCTACATTGCCCATAAGGTTACTAAACCCGAACTCTTGGCAACTTGAACTTTTTACCAATTAAGAACAGCAGAGAAAATGACATTCAACATCCATCTTCACATAACACATTAGTGTTCCCTAAATTCATCCAAGATGTTAAAAGAAGGGAAGACAATCTACAACGATTAACATAGCTGTCCACTGTTGCAATTTCAAGATATAGAAGATGCATACGTGGGGAAATCTCCTTTAATATCAAGTATAGCTAGATTAAAACAACAACAAACAAAAAAACTTAATAATTAAGCAAATATTGTCCCGTTTGGGAAAATAATCTCTAAACCAGGCCACTAGTTAAAGTAACATAACTAGAAGGGCAACCTTCCTTCTATCACTCTTCTGACCTAGTCTCTCCTAATGAGAAAAGTAACTCTGGCCAAGTCTAGCAGGAAAGCCTGCAGATGCGGTGCCCTGGCTGCAGGGCTCTCATGACCTAAGTGAGCTCATGGCTTCTAAGACACACAGGAAGGAGACCTCACCTTCAGGCAGCGGGCTGTTGAAAGCGGGAGGAAATAGGTCCACGAGGGTGTCTTGTTTTTGTGCACTTATCTGGGGTGCTATTTCCAGAGAAGGAGTTCCTCTACAGAGTGTGCCCAAGTGGATTTCTCTAAGTTGCTCTCAGAGTTGTCCAGCTGCCCTCACCAATAAGTCACAGTCTTTGTAGGTTGATAGAAACCACCAGTCAAAGCAGATGCATATGGATTGTGGGGAAGCCTTCTTTAGTATCTAACATAGTTGCCCATTGTTGCTGGATTAAAACAAAAAAACTTAACCATTAAGCAAATCTTCACTTTAATCATTAATTTAGATTATAGCAAATATCAACTAGGTACTAAGCTTGAGTCTACCACTAGCATGGACACTTAACACTTATTAATAGGGATTTTGTGGGTTTGGTTGAAGGCTGCAATGAACTCTCAATTTTAGTTCTATAAGAAGTTAATTCTACTTGATAAGTAAACAAGATCCAGAAATATTTATTGTTAATTTAACTCATTCTTGCTGAGGTTGCTAAGCAACACTTCCAGTGACTCCTGCTGTGCAACAAGTTATACTCTAGTAATATTCTTTACAATTTTATTGTAATTTGCAATAATAATTTAAATACATGTTCATTTCCTGGATTTTCTAAAACACAATCAGATGCAATCAAGTGAAGTTCACGACATTTATATAATGTACAAACTAACAAACTTGCCTAAAATAGTTCCCCATGGAAGCACTGCTACCTTACCCTTGTTTAAAGATGCCCGGGGAACAGTCCTAAATTAAAATGACACTTGGCTAAATGAAGCTATAAAGCATTCATCCTCTGTCTACCTGTAAGAAATACCCCAGTGGCCAGAAAACTCCAAGAAGCCTTCCCGGAACTACAATTTCATTTCCCTTTAACACGGGGCATTAATAAATTTGAGAATCAACTGCAGGTGAAAGAATCCAAAAATGACTTAGTGTATTTAAGACTCTTATAGGGTCAAAACAACGATATAATTGTTATACAGTAAAAAGCCCAAAGTTAGCTAAATTTGCAGATATATTTTGGAATGTAATTGCTCCAAAATTTCCCATTCTTAAATTTGTTTCATAAAACTTTTCTAATATAAATAATGATCTTGTTCTGAATAAGCCTGGATGAAATGTAATCTTTGTGAAATAAAAAGACAAATGACCTAGCAAGAGATCCCATGGCTCTTGTGTTGGAAGAGCACTAACATGCACATCATCATTTGCCTTGGAGCTGTTCAACAGAGGAAATCCTGACATAACCATTTGCTAAAAGGGTCAGATTCCTCAGCTCTAACACAAGTGCCTGCTGAAAGGGTTATTTCAAAGTTTCCCTTAAATCAAGATTATTCAAGAGATTAAAAAATACCAACACAATAATTTTTCAAACTATGTTATGAATAATTCTCTTGGTTTAGAAAAAGGAGGGCTTGAACTTTAGTTGTGGGACAAGAATAAAGGGAAACATACAGGAAGGCATTAGGATGAGTGGGACTCAGTTTTAATGTAAATTTCTCCCAGATTACTGCAAAGAGTATTGCATGTCACATCACATCAAAGAATACAGTTATAAAAAATACACATAATTAATGTACAATAAAATTTTGACAGGTAAAAAAACGTAAAAAAAAAAAAAAAAAAGGTCTATAGCTATCTGTTGACGGGATCCATACATTAGCTAAGGTCATATTCAGATTGAAACAAATTCTGGAAATTCATGCTGCAAGGGACAATGAAAAAATTTCTGGGCAGCTCAAAATTTTACAGCAAACACGGAAATCAAAATAAAATGTTCCTGTATCCTAACCCTAACCCCCCAAAACAACAAATGCGCTCATCTTAAAAAGATAATAACCAGAGCCAACAAGTGTACTGGTGTCATCTGTGCCCTCGTGCTCCCTGCTCCTCAAACCTGGGAAGACAAGAGAAGGAAGTTTTCCCAATCATCACAGCGTCTGGATGCCCACAGATCTATGAAGGAAGACAGCTGACTTCTAGCTCTGATTTTTGGACATATAAACACACACACACACACACACATGAACAGGTTACAGAAAATGGATGGAAACAGCTACAATCTCCACCCACCCAACCAAACTTACTGTGGCTTTACCCGCCACCTCCAGCGCCAAGCCTACTCAGTCTGCGCTCACCCCCACCAAGGAAGGGAAAGGGAGATTTTCAACAAATGAGGACACAGACTCGGACATGAACATTTCCCTACACCGGGCTATTGGCTTGGTCCACCTGTCACCTCCACAACCACCGCAAAGCCCGCTCCATGGCAACACCACACCCAAAGAGGCTGCCGAAACCAGACTCACTCAAAAGGTTACGGGCATTCTCCCGGGAAACGTGATCTGGGCAACCAGAGTATAAAGTTCCAACTTTATGCGAGGTTTGCCCATGTGCACCCCAAGACCATCCTGTTGCCTGACCGCAACATCCCCCCGATCAGCACTCTCGGAGGTAAGGCCCCGTCACCGCAACAAGGAGGCGGAGGAAGGACCAGCGAGGCCACAGCGCGTGGGAAAGTGAGCGTTAGCACGAGTCCACCTCCCGGCCTCTCCCAGGACGTTTCACGCCATCTCAGCGACGGCGGAGGACCTCACACAGCGGCCAGGCGGGTGCCCCCCAGCCCCAGAACTGCTCCCGATCGGTTTTACTTGTGGCCAGAGCTCCTCGAGTTCTTTCAGCTCCAACTGACGCTTCCTGCTCTGGGCTCCGCAGCGGCTCTGAAGGGCTGTGCGGGCCCCCAGTTGCAAACCTGCAGCGAGCCCCGAGGTGCATCCACTTGGGGACCCTCCTACACGCGCACATGCGCACATCGGCGCAGGAGCCCCGGGGCGAGGCACCCCAAGGCCATCAGGGAAAGTGGAAACCAGCATTTTGCTTACTAGGAGGGGCCCCTTCTGTCTCCCAGAGCACCTAGCACTAGGTAGTTACTTGCTCAACGTGCCTTCCGAAGCCATAGGAAGACGACAGGGGCCTACAGGGCCTGCACTTGGACACCAGCAGGCGCCCGGGAAGCGGCCTCCCGTCTGGCTGGGCTCGGGCAGTGTCCGCACGTGGGGCTTCCCCTCTGATGCCACATTTCGGTTGGGCCTGAGAACAGACTCGGACCCCATCATTCTCAGGGTGCCTGTGAGGTCAACTGTGTACGTGGGAAACATACGGGCCTTGGGGACACAAAACGCCTGGGCTTGGTGCTAACTCGTCATTCACAGGTGGCTCCAGGGCCGGGCCCTGAGGATCTCGTCCTGGTCGTGTCTTGGACGTCTTATCGCCCCGCAAGCGCCTGGTGCTGTGGTTTGCGGTCTGAGGAGCAGTTAGGCCTCGAAGGCCCGGCCTCAGATGTGTGCACTCCGCACCCCGAGCTCCCGCCTTCCCCACTCGGCGGCGGCGACCAGTTTCCCGCCCCACGGCCCGACCAGAGGTTGGTGGCAGTTGAAGGCAGTTGGGACCGGCCCAAGCAGGTTGGAACCGGTCTGAGCCGGGCCGGAGGAGGAAGGGGGGAGGGAGAGGCCGCCTCGCGCTCTCCCTGCGCGCGTGACTCACGCTGGCCGCTGACGTCAGGCGTGCGCGCGCGGCGGGGGGGGGGGGGCTCTACGTACGTGTAGTGCTGCGGTTTCTCGGGCTGTGCCTGCAGCACCTGAGCGGTAGCGGCCGGGGGCGCCGAGGAAGCTGCGGAGCCGCCGGGCCCGGGGCCCTTCGACATGGTCCTGTCTTCCTGCCTCTTCGCCGCTCCCCTTTTATTATTCAGTCTGCGCGGTCCGCGCCGAGGACTCAGTGCGCCTGCGCCGCGCCACGAGAACGTGAAGACCCCCCGCATGGCGGCAAGGGTTGCTGGGAGTTGTGGTCCTCGGTTCAGCTGGAATTTTACCGTCGGCCGAGGGGTGCTGCCAAAGGAACGGACCACAATACCCAGGGATCCTTGCAGACGGTGTCCCGGATGCGGAGGGCCCGCGGCTGCTTTTGGGAATTGCAGTCCGGCCGTGTTTCTCCCTAACGCGGTTCCAGTTTCGTAGGGGTACTTTTCCTTGAAACTGGAGCCCCTGCTGTACATGGGGCCCAGAGCTAGGGAGGCCCTGGTGACTTCTGTGAATCAGTTCCAAGTGTAATTTTACTGCCAACAGTGCAGTAATTACCTCGGCTCCAGGCTTGGTATACCTTGGGCTCGGTTCAGAGGCCGGCCCCTCGCAGAGCTTAAGAAGCTTGTGTCCTCCGTTTGTGCTGCAGGCGCCTGGGCTGCGCCAACGTCATTCCTGCTGCAGATCTGGGGACTAGGCACGCAGGAAAGTCTGCCTGCTGGACGTCAGCTTGAGAAAGCTTTGCTGAAGGGGAGCTACCCGGCACGATACCCTACTCCCATGTCTTTGCTGGGGCCCCGAAACTCCACGATTTGGTTCTCTTCTCGACACCTGGCCTGACCAACTTGTTTCCAGTACATTAGGGGCCAAGGACGAATTTAATCTCCGTCTAGAATAGTCTCAGGTGCACCGGCAAGTTGCAGGAGTGTTGAGAAGCATTCGTGTCCAGAGGAAGGGCCTGGGTTTGAGTAGGAGGTGCCCTTTATAACCCACTCGAGTTTGCTGCTCTGAAGTCAGCTATTATACTTGGGGAAATGTGTCTCCCCTCTGCTTCCCGCCAGTGGGGCTACGTTTTTCACTTTGTAAAAGAAGCCAGTTCCCCCCAGACCTAGGCATTTGATTCTGTGAGCTTTACAAAGTTCTTCATAGATATTTTAACTCTTTTGTTAACTAATGGTCATCTCATTAAAGGAACACATTCGGAATAACCTTAGGAGTGAGGGAGCGTGGGGTGAATGGAATATTGTTTTAAAAAAAATGACACCTACTTGCCCATTGTTGCTTAGTGGTTGAGCATTGACCTATGAATCGGCGTCAGGGGTTTGATGCCGGGTCAAGGCACATGCCTGGGTTGCTGGCTCCATCTCCAGTGGGGGCGCTGCAGGAGGCAGCCAATCAGTGATTCTCATCACTGATGCTTCTATCTCTCTTCTCTCTGAAATCAATAAAAATACTAGTATATATTTTAAAAAGAATGACACTCATTTTTACCTAGTTTTCCGTAACCTCATATCAGAAGCTAAATTGTCAGCCAACAATGTTAAGAAACTAATGTTTCTTTTTTTAAATTGACTGCTAGAGAGGAAGGGAGAAAGAGAGAGAGAAACATCAATTTGTTTTTCCACTTATTTATGCATTCATTGGTTGTTGCTTCTATGTGCCCTGACCAGGGAACGAAGGTACAACCTTTGCATATGGGGAGGGCGCTCTAACCAAGTGAGCTAACGGGCCAGGGCAAAACTAGTTTTTGGGTTTTTTTTTTTTTTAGTTTTATTGCTTAAAGTATTACAAAGGGTTTTACATATGTCTCCTTTTTCCCCCCACCCTTGACAATCCCCTGGCCTCCCCTACCAAAACTGGTATTTCTTAAGTAGGCCAAATGGTTAACCACTAGGGGCGTTGGAAGATGAAAAAATACAAAAAGACAAAAGTTGTAGTGTATTGCTTTAATCCTATTATTAAACCCCAATAATTGGTTTATGTTATCCCCAAAACACTCCAGTGTGATTTGAATGAAGCAATGTAGTTCAACGCTGGCCGAGTAGCTCACTTGGTTAGAGCATCGTCCCGATAGGCCAAGAGGACACATACAAAAAAATCAACCGATGAATGCATAAATAAGTGGAACATCAAATTGAACTTTCTCTCCCTTCCCCTCTCTAAAAATCAACCAATAAAAAATATTAAAAATACGTAGTTCATAGCGTTAGATTTTAAATATATTTTTATTGATTTCAGAGAGGAAGGGAGAGACAGAAACATCAATGATGAGAGAGAACCACTGGGGACCGAGCCCACAACTCAGGCATGTGCCCTTGACTGGAATAGAACCCAGGACCCTTCAGTTCCCAGCAGACGCTCTCTCCACTGAGGCAAACCGGCTAGGGCCACAGTGCTGAGTTTTAAATGAGTGTACGTCAGGCGCTTCTAAATAAGTGTGTAGTAGTAGAATCCGAAGATATCCAAACTGCTTAATTTACAAAACAGGAACCCAAAACTCAGAGAGGTTAAGTAACTTTCACGGAGTTACTCAGCAAGTCTGTGATAGAACAGGAACTAGAACAGTTGCCTGCATAACATTTTGCATTGTTCTGATTGCAGTTCTGCATTTCCTTTGTAGCTTTTCCTCCCCTGAACCAATTTAGGAAAAAGACAATCTAATTTGTATGGCTGCCAAATAAGAGGAGCAAACTATTTCCACTAATTTTCCTTAAATAGATTAACGTAAATCCATTCCTGGTTTCTCCTGGAACAGTTTTAGTTCCTCTCTAATAATTAGCAAGATTAAAAAAAAAAATTCCCGTGTCTCCTCTAGGAGTCATGGGACAAACAGGGTTCTGGGTCTCCCATAAGAACATTGGGAGTGCATAAGCTGATGAACAAGGACTGATCCAGAGACGGAGAGGCATTGATTGGACTGTCGGGACTTGGAGGGAAGGTAGGGGAGGGTGGGGGTAAGGGGGAAAGATCAACCAAAGGACTTATATGCAAGCATATAGGCCTAATCAATGGACATGGACAACGGGGGGGGGTGAGGGCATGAGCGGGGGGGTTGGGGGGGTAGAGGGTAACGTGGGGACAAGGACACATGTAATATCTTAATCAATAAAAAATATATTAAAAAAAAAAAAAGAACATTGGGAGTGAGCACCAAAGCCTCATCAAAGCAAGTCTAGCCCCAGAGGGGTGTCTCCCGCACAGAAGCTCTCCCACTGCAGACACAGCTGATTCTCACAGCCAATTGGCCTGGAGGTCAGTTCCTCACAGTGATAACTACAACAATCAAGGCTTAACTACAACAAGACTGTGCACAAAGCACACAAGGGGGTGCACCAAGAGTGTCTACCTCAGGTAATTGGGACACTTAGCACAGAAAGGCACTCTATCGACACAGCGAAGCATAAAAAATGCTGAGACAAAGAAACAGGACACAAACAACAGAATTGGAGGAAAGCAAACTGTTGGATATAGAGTTCAAAACCACACTTCTAAGGTCTTTAAAGAACTGTCTAGAAGCCGCCGATAAATTTAATAAGGCCCTCGAAAAGATTGGTGAGACCGCCGATAAATGTAGTGAGATCCTCAAGAAATCTAATGAGACCCTCTATGTTGTGATAAAGAAACAACTAGAAATTAAGCATACACTGACTGAAATAAAGAATATTATACAGACTCCCAACAGCAGACCAGTGGGTCGCAAGAATCAAGTCAAAGATTTGAAATACGAAGAAGCAAAAACACCCAACCGGAAAAGCAAAATGAAAAAAGAATCCAAAAATACGAAGATAGTGTAAGGAGCCTCTGGGACAGCTTCAAGCGTACCAACATCCGAATTATAGGGGTGCCAGAAGAAGAGAGAGAGCAAGATATTGAAAACCTATTTGAAGAAATAATGACAGAAAACTTCCCCTACCTGGTGAAAGAAATAGAGTTACAAGTCCAGGAAGCGCAGAGAACCCCAAACAAAAGGAATCCAAAGAGGACCACACCAAGACACATCATAATTAAAATGCCAAGAGCAAAAGACAGAGAGAGAATCCTAAAAGCAGCAAGAGAAAGAAACTCAGTTACCTACAAGGGAGTACCCATACGACTGTCAGCTGATTTCTCAACAGAAACTTTGCAGGCCAGAAGGGAATGGCAAGAAATATTCAAAGTGATGAATACCAAGAACCTACAACCAAGACTACTTTATCCAGCAAAGCTATCATTCAGAAGTGAAGGCCAGATAAAGAGCTTCACAGATAAGAAAAAGCTAAAGGAGTTCATCACCACCAAACCAGTATTATATGAAATGCTGAAAGGTATCCTTTAAGAAGAGGAAGAAGAAGAAAAAGGTAAAGATACAAATTATGAACAACAAATACACATCTATCAACAAGTGAATCTAAAAATCAAGTGAATAAATAATCTGATGAACAGTATGAACTGGTGATTGTAATAGAATCAGGGGCATAGAAAGGGAATGGACTGACTATTCTTGGGGGGGGAAAGGGGTATGGGGTGAGGGAAGAGATTGGACAATAATTGCACCTATGGATGAGGACAGTGGGTGGGGAGTGAGGGCGGAGGGTGGGGTGGGAACTGGGTGGAGGGGAGTTATGGTGGGAAAAAGAGTAACTAATGTAATAATCTGAACAATAAAGATTTAATTGGAAAAAAAAAAGAACATTGGTACACAAAGGGGGTGTTGCAAGGAGCCCATTCCTTCTCCAGGCCATTTGGGCAGTGAAAAAAAAAAAAGATTGATGGGGAAATAAAAACAACATAAAAAAATACATTTAAAATCTAGCACTATGAACTATATATCTTAAATAATTTTATTGGCTGATTTTAGAGAGAGAGGAAGGGAGAGAAACATCAATTTTTCTAGTTATATTCCAAAGTATTTGGCATTTCCTTCAAGATCTTAGCAATGCCCTGTTTCTCCACCGTACAGTTCTGAGAACAGGGCGAGAGCCTCTTGGTCTCTCTCCTCAGCACAGCATGAATGAAACAGAAAGCTTCCTAAACTGAGCTGAAGGCAAAAATTAAAGTTAATTTGCCCTGGCTGGTCTAGCTCAGTGGATAGAGCGTCAGCCTGCAGACTCAAGAGTCCCAGGTTCAATTCCTGTCAAGGGCATGTACCTTGGTTGCGGGCACATCCCCAGTAGGGGGTGTGCAGGAGGCAGCTGATCGATGTTTCTCTCTCATCAATGTTTCTAACTATCCCTCTCCCTTCCTCTCTGTAAAAAATCAATAAAATATTTTTAAAGAATTAAAGTTAATTTATCACATAAAAGCTTAAATACATGATAATTAAATACACGTTTTGAATATTACAATGGAAAGGGCTGAAATAATGAGAGGGTTTCAGTGCCAGAGAGTGGGCTGAAGTCGTTTTTGCCATAGCTACTTTTCCAAATTGTGCATTTTTTCTCCTCACTATTGATACTGAGAGGGGACTTCTGGTGTAACAGTACATTTTTGAGGTATTTGTATTCATTTGTAATGATTCTCTGAGTTGGAATCTATATGTAACTGGTTTTGCTAAAATAAAAAGATTTTAATAATTTAAAATATTCAGTGAACCCAGAGTAAGGACTATGGAGTATCATACCCATGGCTCTATTTGTCAATTTCTGAGCTTCCTTTGGCTGGTCTGAACCTTAAGCCTGCTTTGGTATTTTATATAGCTGAATCATTGGAGTACTGAATCCAAGACATTTATCTACACAAAGATAGGAATTAACATTTTTACACATTTGTCATGTTTCTTCAGAAGTAATTCCAGGATATACCATTAAACACAGAGGCATATATTAAATATAGTTGTCTTTTCTTTACTCTTTATAGACATGCAAATGCTTTCAAAGGATTATTCCCATTTTGGCTATGTGTAGTAACTTCACCTGGTTGAATTACATAATCCAAAACTATGTTGCTTACAGGCTACATATTGAAATCACAAAGCATTTTGTGACAGACCTAAAAACATACAAAGTGGTACTCATAAAACCATTTATTGACATTTATTTCTTTGTAGCTATCACCCCTCCCCACCCTACCAAACAAAAGAACTGCTTTTTGGTTAAAATGTATATGAAAGATAAATAAAATACTTGCTAATATAACATGATTTACTGAATTCTAATTCTTACTTACACTACTACTTAACTATCAAAATGTTAAAATGAATTAAAACGTTTAAATGGAATATTTTGTATGAATTTTTGAATAAACTTGGGAACAAAAAAATGTTAATGAAACGTAAATAATCACAGGGAAGATGTTTTATTTTACACTGGAAAACATTTACAAAAATTGTATTAAAGTAACCTCTTCCTGCATTGATGGCATTACTTGAGGCGAATAAGGTGAAGCTTCTGCCCATCCAGACTCTTTCGTCCTGATGGGGACCAAGACAATTTAGTTGCATTGACTTTCTATTGTAGAGCTTTGGAACCAAGGGAAGGATCCAAACATAGCTCCATTTCATCCAATGAGAAGAGCCGCTTAGTGCTAACTATGATTCGTCCATTTCTCTTTGCTTTCATCCAATCCTTAGGCCACTTTAACAGCCAATCAGCGGCCTAGATATCCACCAATCAGAGTACAGGGCCCTAGCACGGCCTTTGTGTCGAGGGATGTCAACGCGTCGGCGAAAGCTTCGGCCAATAGAAAAAGTCGTTGGTGTATGCAAATGAAGATGCTATGACGCAGAGACGCAGCGTGAAGCGTGGGTATAAAAGCGGAAGCACCGGGGGGGTTTGGAGCAAAGCGGTTTGGTTATTCGTTGGGTTGGTCCGTGCACTTAGCTCCTGAGCTGCGGCTCTTCCTTAGGCGGCGGGAGCGGCGTCACGGACTAAGAAGCGGCCTAAGACTTCGGCGTTGAGTGAGTGTCCGTGGGTTTGCCGGTGACTTGGGGCCGCGGCAGCCGTTAGGGCCGCGGGTCGCGGCCGTTGGGGGCCGAGTGCGGGCTGCCCGGGCGGCTGGCATCGGGCGTGGGGTTGAGAGGTTTTCCCCGGGGACTTGGTTCCGGGAATCGCGTCTCTTCCCGTCTCTGACGCTGGCTGTTCAGAGGTCTCGGCGTCGGCTTCCGGGCAGCGCGGCCTCCGCCCGTCGAGGAGGGGAAATGACTCCTCCCCGCGCTCTCCCTCCCGGGGGAGGCGGCTGCTCCTCGCGGCCTGAGTCATTAGGGGTGAGGCGGCGGCGGCGGGGAGGCCTCGGCCATCTGCCGCCGCGAGGTGGGGTGCGAAGAGGCGGGAGGGCAGGGGCGCCGCGCAGAGCCTGTCCGTCCCCCTCGCCCCCACCTCCTGGCGAGCGGCGCGGGAGTCATGGGCGTCTTCTTTAGGTGAAAGAAAATGGCCCGAACCAAGCAGACTGCTCGCAAATCCACGGGTGGGAAAGCGCCCCGCAAACAGCTGGCCACTAAAGCTGCCAGGAAAAGCGCCCCCTCTACCGGCGGGGTGAAGAAGCCCCATCGCTACAGGTAGGCAGGGCAGAGGGAAGACAATGACGCCGCGGCGCCTGGCGGTGCGGGAGGGGTTGCTGGTGGGGTGCCGGCGCTGTCAGTTAACGGGTTTGCGTCTCCCTCCTCCTTGCCCAGGCCCGGGACCGTCGCGCTTCGAGAAATCCGTCGTTACCAGAAATCGACGGAGCTTCTGATCCGGAAGCTGCCTTTCCAGAGGTTGGTGAGGGAGATCGCCCAGGATTTCAAAACCGACCTGAGGTTTCAGAGTGCAGCCATCGGCGCGCTGCAGGTGAGACAGGGCCGCGGCGGGGGCGGGGGCGGGGGCGGGGCCCGAGGCTGGTTTCTCGGTGTCCGCAGAGTCTAATGGAATCGTGCGCTCTCGTCCTTTGCAGGAGGCTAGCGAAGCGTACCTGGTGGGCTTATTTGAAGATACGAACCTGTGTGCCATCCACGCTAAGAGAGTCACCATCATGCCCAAAGACATCCAGTTGGCTCGCCGGATACGGGGAGAGCGAGCTTAAGGGAAGGCAGTTTTTACGGTGTTTTGTAGTAAATTCTGTAAAATACTTTGGTTTAATTTGTGACTTTTTTTGTAAGAAATTGTTTATAATATGTTGCATTTGTACTTAAGTCATTCCATCTTTCACTCAGGATGAATGCGAAAAGTGACTGTTCACAGACCTCAGTGATGTGAGCGCTTGCTCAGGAGTGACACGTTGCTAATATGCAGAAGGGATGGGTGATACTTCTTGCTTCTCATGATGCATGTTTCTGTATGTTAATGACTTGTTGGGTAGTTGTTAAGGTACTAGAATGATAAATGTGTACAGGGTCCTTTTGCAATAAAACTGGTTATGACTTGATCCAAGTGTTTAACAATTGGGGCTGTTAAGTCTGACCATGCATCACTGTGATAGAATGTGGGCTTTTTCAAGGGTGAAGATACAAGTCTTAACCACAGTGTAATAACTTACAGTTTCCTAAAAAGAAAAAAAAGTAAACCTGGCAGCTATAGAATACACTATGTGCATTTATAATAGCTATTTTATATATTGTAGTGTCAACATTTTTAAATTAAATGTTTTACATTCACATGTGGGGAGTCTTGTCATTAAGGTGTGTGTAATTTAGGGTCCAGTTGGTGTTCTAACTAGACTGCACTTGTTTTCATAGTAGTAAAATGCTTTGCAAATAACACCTTGCAGAAGTCCTCATTCTACCACATGTGAACTAACCCTCCAGCTGATAATGCAAACACTATCGGGGGATTTTATTTATAAGGGCTCTAGAATACAAGTTATCACACCAGCATCATCTGTTACTAATATTCTGACTAGTTATGGTTAGTGCAGCTTTTCTTTGTGTTGTGGTTGGTTTCATAACTAGGCTGAGTTCCTCTACCAAGAGGAAACAAGACCCGAGTTCTTTTCCTTGTAGAGTTTGTATTATAACCCTTAGCGTAAACTTGCTGTGGGGGGGGAGGGGCACTTAGCTCCAGCTTGTTGCATCGCGGCCAGTTAGCTTACATCTGGTATGTGGTCCTGGGGAAATCACTTTATAGAGCTGGTCTTCCAAGTGGTTTTTAAAATTTATCCTTCTATTGAAGTTTTTAGGTCAATTATGTATGTTGACTAAATTTACAAATAAACTTGTTTATCCAACTAAGTGTCAAAAACCTAAATTGAATGTACAAAAAACATCCATTATCTAGGTTCTTTGTGTCCTAAAGTTTGAGCTTAGGTTACTTGGATTTTGCTTAGACAAAGGAACCTTTTAGTTACAGAAATAACTCCAGAAACATGTAAAGACCCTCTGCTCTAACAATACCAGGATTGCAATATTTACAGTGTCACTGCTTCCCTCCATGTCAAGGAATTAAAAGCACATTCATTGCCGGTATGAAGTAGGCCAAGGGAAGTAAATTTCTTTAAAATGCTAGGGCTCAAATTTGGGATCTGTTCCATGAACCTCTGGGTGGACTGTTGATTGATCTCCAAGTTATTAACAATTCCAGAGGTACAAAGCATACTAGTCCAAGACATCTTTTCCATATGAAAGATCTGCTTTGACATTGGAGGCCAGCAGTAAAGCATAGCATCAATTTTGGCAAGACATTTATGCCCTAATGGCTATTTTTAGTAAGAAACTAGAGTAGGCTTGGAGGTCTAGTTAATGAGCCTTACCTGTTGTCAAAGGCGGAGTTCACTAGCAAACGGGTTTTCTAAAAGGTTTGTAACCAGCTCTGGAATAACTACCAATATAATCCCCTCACTGTGCATCTGAAAGATGCCCAAGCCCTCGCCGCTGGCATGTGCTGTGCCCTGGAGTGGAGCAGTGTCCAAACAAGTAGAACCAGCTGTGGTGGTGGTCAGCTTGAGTTACCTGCGATAACCCCAGTGGATGCCAGTTGAACCTTCATAAACACCTACCCCCCACCCCGTCTGCACCGTGATGCAGGAGGTTCCTGGGTTTTATCGCGTGGCTTGGAGTCTGCTTAAACTGCCACTTGCACGCCATACTTCATTTGAGCACCTTAACCAGAAGGCAAAAATACTTTTGGTTCTAGGAAGCTGGTCACATAGGTACCCTGGGTATAGTGATGGAACAGTCTATACAGAGAAAAGCAAAAGTTGGAACTGATGAAGGTATCCTGTGCCCTTGAACAGACAAAAATAAAAGTTTTTGAAGTTGAGACTTGGTAATGGTCTTTATTTGAATGAAATCTGTTTCACAAGTTTCCTCTGGCTAAGGGTCCTAGAGAGCCTTGCCTTCTGATGGGGGGGATGGGAGGGGGGGATGAGGGGAGGGCTTTCAGTAATGAGACAGGCAGACCCCTTATCCTTAAAGGAATATATATCACCATTTGCTCAGGACAGTGCCCATTTATGCTTGTTGAACCTGCATATTAACTGCCTCTCTTGCTGACTGGTGTGGGTCACAGGTTCGACTCCCAGGGTACAAGCCTGGGTTGCAGGTTTGATCCCCAGTAGGGGGAGTGCAGGAGGCAGCTGCTTAATGATTTGCTTTCATCATTGATGTTTCTATCTCTCCCTTCTCTGAAATCAATAAAAACATACTTTAAAATAAGTATATGGAGGCAGGCATGCACTTCAAACCCAGCTTATTTCCTGAGATCTGTCCTTATACAAAAGATTCATTGTGTACCCATTACACATCAAAGGGAGGAACAGACCCAGGAGAGGCCAACAAAGACCAGCTCATGCCCCATGGCCAGGCCCCCACCCCTTGCTTTGCCCCCAGCCAGGGACCTCTGCTGCTGCCTGACCAGTGTCAGTGAGGAGACCACTGTCAGTTGGGGCAAGCTGAGGAATGACTGAGGCTTGGGCAGGTGGCCTTTTCCTGAGGGCTGTGTGAGGGACTGCACATGTCCCCATGGAGGTGGTGCCTGGGCTCCACTAACCCCTCCTTCCCTTCCCACCCCCTCTGTCGGACATACAGGGCCCCAGGACCTTTCCCATAAGCTCACCTCCCAGCACTGAGCCAAGACTTAGCAGAGGGGATAGGATGGGGTTGGATCCAAGGCCCAGGCATCACGAGCCTGTAGTCCTACTGCAGCTCACTGGCCTCTCCCTTCCCACACCCTGCCTTTGGCCAGACTCCGTCCTGCCCACCCCCGGAGGCCTGCAGCCCCCTGCCAGCTGCAGTGCCCCTTGTGAGCTGCAGGAAGAGATGGCTGTGGCCCTAAGCTGTCAGCTGCATCTTTTGAGTCCAGATTTGCTCCGTGGCCTTTGACAGGGTGGTCCTCAGCCTAGAGGGCAGGAACTTCAGGGACATGGGGCAGCAAATAAAGACATGGCTGCAGCTGAGCCCTCTCACAGGGGCGCCTGAGGTCAGGGGAGGGTGAGAAGCTCGGTGCTCCGAAGGCAAGGTCTCAATCTTGCCTGCCTGCCTCTGGCGTCGGGCCTGACACCTGGCAGAGGCGCCAGACATGCTTGCTGACCAACCCGAACGGTCCTGGCAGCCCCACAGCCCAGCTGGCTGGATCTGCTCCTGGCACACGTGGCAGAGAACCGGGCCAGTTCCCAAGCGCCTTTGGTCACTGGCCTGGCTTTCCGATTGGGACCCTTCCGTGGAGGAAGTGCGGCTCCAGTGTTCTGGGAGAGCAGCTGTGCCTCCTGCCCCTCACTAAGAGGCTGAGCTGTAGGTACTCACAGGCACAGGGTGGTAGCTGAGAATGGGCTCAGGGGCAGACAGGCCCAGGTTCAAGGCCCAGCTGTCCCACTTGGATGCATTCCTTCACACATCTGTGCTGCTTTCCCTCATCTTTAAAATGGGAATAAAAACTACCTACCCAATAGGCTTGTAAGGATTTAAAGAAATAATCTGTGCAAATTCTGGTGATTTTTAAAATATTTGACAACAGAAGTCAAGGGCACTGACCAATCAGTCCACAACCAGCACTGCCCTGCAGGCTGTGTACCAGCCCTGATACCAGGGCTGCCACAGGTACAGATGAGTATCATCCAGACCTCGGGAGCTGTTATTAATATTACAGAAAGGCCAAGCAGGCCAACTCATTAGATAGGTTAATGCTGTGGAACAATTACAAACAGAGCCTCCCAGAACGGGTGAGAGGGTGGGCCATCTTCTGAGGGCAAACACTTTCAGAGACCTTGTGGGTAGATACTTACCTGTGAGATGTTGCCTCAAGTCCCATCAGTGAACCAGGCTGTGATTGCAATGGAGAAGCCAGAGCTGCATGGCGCGTGCAGACCTTCATCACATAAAAAAGAACGAGCAAGTCCAGCAGGGAGGCCCCAAGGGCTAAGAACTGGCACAGAGACCTGGCCGGTGCGGCTCAGTCGGTTGGGCATCATCCTGTGCACCAGAAGGCTGGGGCTCCATTCCCAGTAGGGGGTGTGCTGGAGGCAGCTGATCTTTCCTCCGTGCCAGCCTCGGTCTCAGGGGCCAGGCTGTGTCTGCCTCCCGGCCAGAGCCTGAGCGCCCCAGGCTTTTACCTGTCTGGCCAGTTGCACGCAGGAGAGTCCACTAATGTCTGTTGCATGATTTGCTCTCAAATCAGTGTTTCTCTCTCTCTCTCCCTCTCCCTTCTTCTCTCTCTAAAAATGAATAAAAACCTTTTTTGGGGGAAAAAAAGAATTGGGTGCAGACATAGACACAAACTCCGGGAGAGAAGAGATGCCGCTGAAGCACCTGTCCTCCATGGTGGGCAGGTCTCGCCATGGCCTGGGCAAAGGTGCCTTGGTGACTCTCGGCCTGCCAAGGGTTCCAGGGCCCAACTGGCAGGGGTGGCGTTCCCACCCCTGGAAAGTATGGCCCTGTGGTGGATATTACTGGGGCTTCTATCTGGATGCCTCAGTCCTGTGTGACAGCCGGCTCTGGCTTGCGGATGCAAGTGAGAAGACAGGCTGTGGGGTGCAGTGATCCCATTAAAGTTCCACCCCCTCCCAATCTTGTAACGTCAGGCCAGGAAATGGGAGGGAGGGTCAAAGGTTAAGGCAGACTTCTCAACAAATTTCATGAAACATGCTAGATGGGATTAAAAAACTGAGTAGTGCCCTAGCCAGTTTGGCTCAGTGGATAGAGCGTCGGCCTGTGGACTGAAGGGTCCCAGGTTCGATTCCGGCCAAGGGCACATGCCCAGGTTGCAGGTTCGATCCCCAGTAGGGGGCATGCAGGATGCAGCTGATCAATGATTCTCTTTCATAATTGATGTTTCTATCTCTCTCTCCCTCTCCCTTCCTCTCTGAAATCAATAAAGAAATATATTTAAAAACAAACTAACTGAGTAGCTCAGCCAGTGTGGCTCAGTGATTGAGCATCGACCTAGGAACCAGGAGGTCAGGGTTCGATTCCCAGTCGGGGCACAGGCCCGGGTTTCGGGCTTGATCCCCAGTAGGGGGCGTGCAGGAGGCAGCCGATCAATGATTCTTGCTCATCGTTGATGATTCTCTCTCTCCCTCTCCCGTCCTCTCTGAAATCAATAAAAACATATTTAAAAACAACTGAGCAGAGCCAGATCTTTGAGCATTAGCTCCCTTGTCTCTGGGTGTGGGCTGCTTCCTGGAAAACACACACACACACACACACAAAACCTTAAAAAACAAACAACAAAAGCCCAAACCAAAAATGAGTGTGAACACAAATAAATCAATGTTTCAGAGTCCATCTTGAGCAAATGGAAGCATTACCCTCTTAGGTCCCATCCAGGTTCTCCAAGAACAACTACAACAATAAAAGGATGCGGATGAGCCCTGGCTGGTTTGGCTCAGTGCACAGAGTGTCGGCCTGCGGACTAAAGGGTCCCGGGTTCGATTCCGGTCGGGGGCATGTGCCTTGGTTGTGGGCACATCCCTAGAGGCGGCTGATCCATGTTTCTCTCTCATCGATGTTTCTGACTCTCTGTCCCTCTCCCTTCCTCTCTGTAAAAAATCAGTAAAATATATTTTTTAAAAAAAGGATGAGGATGAGGCACATGGATGTGTTCTCTTTGGTTGTTGTTCATCCTCACCCAAGGATGTTTTTTTCCATTGATTTTTAGAGAGAGTGGAAGGGAGGGGGAGAGACAGAGAGAGAGACATTGTTATGAGAGACACATCAATTGGTTGCCTCCTGCACCTGCCCCAGCCCTTCAGTCCATTTAGCAAAACTGGGGAGGGCACATGGATGTGTTTCCAAT